CAAGGAATGTGACCGACTGAAACAGGAGAATTAAATATCAATAAAAGATTGAACTTTGTTATCTGTCTAAGCCAGAAACAAAAGGCAACAGTTACCTTGATTGCTTGTTCAATAATGTTTCTGCAGTACGTCTTTTGGCAGAGCCCCTTTCCAAAAGAGTGAAGATCTCCGTAGCACTTGTCACAATTTCTTCCTCCAAACCTCTTACAAGAACTCCACCTTTACCATCTTCCATCAGAGGCAGCTGCTTTTTCTGCTTCTCCTCCAAAGCAACTTTGGAAATTTCATCAGGGGCAAGCAAATCAGTGATCTCCTCATTATACAATTCTAGAAAAGTGACCTTCACACTATATTCAGCATTTTGGCTCTCAAGGGTATCAAAAATCTGTTTGACAGCCCTAGGTATTACTCCTGCGTCTGGAGGCAACTCTCCATTCAGCCCACTCTGCAAAGTTGTTTGTAAACTTAGTAAGCATGAATTATGAGTAAGCAAGTGGCAATTCCATTAGCCTTTTGAGAACACACTAAATTATACCTTTGACCTTTTGCAATCGCCTTCCATTGTGTATGTTTTCCCCGTGCCAGTTTGACCATATGCAAATATGGTGCAATTAAACCCCTCAAGAACTTCATTTACTATCGGGATGATAGCCTGATCATAAAGATCTTTTTGCTTTGCAGAAGGACCAAAAACCTGCGAAATATGCTATGAATCATTTGGAATTCCTTACAGGCTCAAACAGGACACATTTATGATATTTATTCCTCAAAAGAAGTTAACCAAAGTGCATTTAGTTTATTCGAATTCTTCGTAAAACAATGCGTAGGTTAAAAATGCGTACACACTCTCAATCTCAAAGATGCCGAACCTGGCCATTCTCACAAGGAAAGGCGAATCGCTACAGAACTTGGCGAATGCTTGGTTTTCAGCCAAGCAATATTGTATTTCTCATCAAGGAAAAGTCTAGGCAAGATAAGCAATAAGCACTGTTTAAAAGCTAATCCAAAGTAAAAGCCTGCGCGTAAATACGAATTCAATAACATCGCCCGGTAGCACTCATTTTCAATATAATGAACTCGTTGGAGCTGAACCGCTTCACCTTTTGTCCATAAAAATTCCCCTGGATCCTACGGGAGAAACATCATTTGCTCTGATGTTCAACAAGAATGGCTCATTTAGCATTCTGCCTTCGTTTAACAGTATAGAACCGACATGACTGTGTCCCCAGAAAACAATCAAAAGTAGAGAAACCCAAGTGGGCTGCCTGGAGAAAGCTAGTTTTCACCTCAGTAAATGTAATGAGGAAGGTAATGATAAGTAAAAATTGGGTTGAAAGAAACACCTTATCGAATGTGAAAACTCTGTCTATATGTTTGCCGGCAATGTTCTGAGACACCGCAACTTCTCTGGTGTAATCATTGCAGGTGATAACCTGTGGTGCATTGTTCCGCAACTCTTCCTCGCTAAATGGCCTGGAATTTACATGAGAAACAGAAATGTCGTCCGATTAGTTGAAATGTCGAGGAGCTTGAAAATAAATGATCAAGGTTCATTGTATAATCTGACCGGAATACCTGCAACGGAGGAGAACCTGAACATTGACGCCCTTCTCTCTGTCTCCGCGAGAGGACATTGTGGATCCTAGAGAGCAAGAATCACCACAGAACTTCACTCTTTCGTTAGCAGATCGGGTTCTGAATTTCGTTTGTCTCTCTCTTCCCGCCTCTGCGTGAATCGGTGGGAGAGCGGGTGGGTTTGAGATTTGAAATTTTGAGAGCCGCTCTCGCCTTTTATCTGGCATCTACGGCTCAGATGGTGGACTCCCGATCTGACGGTATTATATGAAACTGTTCAAATGGGGTGCACCGGTGAGACCATTTTACCCCTAAATTTCGAATGACCTTTGCGAATTGTCCTTTGGTATCAGCTTCGAACAGATGTATTAAATTATTCACCGGGAAAAGAACAATACAACGTTAAAGTGAGCACGGGGCACGGCGCACTCAATTGGGCTTTTGGGTAATTCGATTGGGCTCTTTAATTTAGTGAAATTGCATTGGGCTTATAGCCCAGCCCATTAGGTATCCATAATCAATCCAGCTTCGTCTCCTTCATCCTTGGGCGAAACTATCCCAAACTCCTGCGTGCTGTCGTTCAGGGGGGAAAATAAACAGTTTTACCGATTGATCTCGGGGATTTTATGCTTCTTCCATCTGCTGACTGTATAAATATATGTATATTTTCATTTGTACATTTATTTGTATAACATACGCATGTTAGATAGTCTGCGGACCTTGAGCGGATTTGTATAGAATCATTACCTCTCAGTTGAGATATTTTAATCGTATAGAATCCTATTAAAAATCGAAGGCATCAGTATATGAATATATTACTGCATAGATGTATAGAATCTTACATTATTCACATGTCAAGGCATAAGAAAAGACTTATAATTGATTTAACCAGCATGAAAGTAATTTCGGAGAGTTTTTAAACGTAATTAATTTTAGGTGCTCTTCTTTCTTTCTTTTTTTTTTTAAGTAGCTAGTATGCGAGAAACGCCCCCCCGGGGGGAGATCAATTACTTGTGGCCAGATTTCAAGCGCAAGGATTCGCACCAACATTATCTATTCCTCTTTGTCACTTTCTGGGGCCTCTAGATACTGGCTTCGTTTAGATCAGCAATTGAATAAGCTGTTTATTAAAAAAGTAGCTTATGGATAAGTGAAGTTGGGTAAAAACTAAATTGGATAAGCTGAATGTGTTTGGATTAGAGTTCAGATAAGCTAGTTTGCAAAAGTAAAATTGGTAAAAAGTTGTTTGAATTATGATTGAGTAAAAGTAAGTTTGGTTGTAAAATGACCAAAATGAGTATGAGTTATAATAAAGAATGAAAAATAATAAAAAAATTGATTTCACATAATACAATGAATTTAAGTTAAATCAATATGAAGAAGTGAATTAAATTTTAAAATTTAAGAGAAATCATAAAAAAAAATTTAAATACAAAGTGGAAGATGAAAAAAATGAATTGAGATAATATAACAAAAAAGCGAGGAGAGAGAGCTGAGGCGGAAGAAAAAAAATGAGGCGAAGAAAAATGAGAGATTCCCAGCTACTGAAGTAAAAATAACCCCCCCACACTTTCCAACGGTAAAAAAATAAGCTCTTAAAGTGAGGAGATAAGCCACAAAATTCTGCTTAAGCCTGACCGCCCGTTTTGTAGCTTAAAATGTATAAGCTGCTTTTTTTTTTAAGCTCAGCCAAACACAGCATCTTCAGCCAACCGGGGTTATGAGTAAAATAAACTGCTTTTAAATCCAAATAAGGCTCTGTTTGGATAGCACCCCATCCAAACCATGGTTTGGGGAAAATGCTACCCAAACAGCCTCTCCAAAAACCAAAACCATGGTTTTGGAAAAAGCAAAATTTTTTTGCTTTTGGAGGAAAAAGGGAGAGTGTGAGGGCCTATATGATATGTATCTTGTTATTTTTTTTATAAACATATTTTTTTATAAATATATTTAATCTTATATTTTATAAATATATATAGACATTAATTATTTATTAATTATATATCTTATGTATTATTAATTATGTTGGTAAAAAACATATTATTAACAATTTTATTTCTTCAAATTAAAATATATCATAAAATCTATTTTTTCTGTAATTATCATATTAACTTATGTCTTTTTTTTAGTAATTTGTATATATAAAAAGTGCTTCTGATAACAACTATCCAACACTCTCACTTCTCAGAATCACTTTTTTACAAAATCTATTCTTCACAGAATCTATTTTTTCCAGAATCTATTCTCCAGAATCACTTTTCCAAACCACGGTTTGGTTTCATCCAACACACCCTAAGCCTTGCCAAACGGACCCACTGTAGGATATACTGATATTGGCTTATAGCCTCCTACTGCGCCAGATATACCAATGAGGACGTCCAGAAAAAAGACTAGTAAAAAAAAAAAAAGGGATTTACCATTAGATCAAATGCAAATAATCACGTAAAATCATTATTGCATATCGATTACTCTTAACGAACCGATGAATATTAATTTGAAATACAGATTGTTGGTGCATAAGCTGAAAGACATCGATCAAATATACAAGAAAAAAAAAGTCAATTATTAATTTATTATGATCGATAAACACGCACATATTGTGCTCATGTATTTAAAGTTTATTTAGAATAAACCATACTGCTACTATAGTGATTCGTAATTTATGAACAGCGTTGAGTTTATATATTTTATACCGCATATATAAACACATCTGATCTTCTGAGGGGACGCTGAAATTGGAAAGATTTTCTGCCCGTTATCCCCTTATCCTTTTTCAAGTCTGGACGAAAGAGAAAGCGCCACGAATCATGGGCAAAAATACACACAAATTGGCAATATGCAAACAACACGTGAGTCCCTAAGGGGAAAAGCATAAGCGATTCCATCTACAGTCATCATCTCATCTTTGAAAACGAAAGATTTCATCTTGACTCCGCTGCATGCACGTTGAACATTATTGATATAATTCAAGAGATTTAAATTTTACAGCTTTTATATACTTTCATGTACCTACGAAATTCACAACATCTATTTAAAAATCCTAAATACTCTCTGTGATTCATTTTATAAATTATCTGTATCTAATTTATATATACAAATAAAAACAGTTAAAAGCGCCAACTTGACATTAAATTAGATTTTTAATATTATTTTTACTAACTACACTAAATTTAACATCATATTAGTTTTTATTCTCTCATTACCATTATCAAATATAAGAATATACGACAAAAAATATCTAACGCCCCTTGAAAATAAGCAAACGCCTCCTAATGCAATTAATTGTTTTAATCATCATTTATAAAATATTATGTTTATTTTATTTTGATTTAAGAGGCAGCCTACAATATCTGTCGCTCTTCGAGCTGGTCACTTTCCCCGACTTCTTGCGCCAGAACAGCACAAACATGTATTAGAAAAATCAGCAATGGGCTCCATGGGTCTCACTCAGTCGTAGCTATCGATAGCGGCTTCAATCTTGTTGATTTCCTTATCGTTATCTCCCACTCTACTTTTTTTGTTTGTTTGTTTGATGTCCGGGGCCTGAATGCTGCATCTGTTCCTTCTAGTCTACAACACGAGTGAAGAGTGGCGCCCTCCTCCCGCCTTCGATGCCTGAATCAGCCGCTCGATCCGTCGGCGGCACCGAGTACAGCTGGTGCAGGTCCGTCCCGTCGGGCACTGGGATTACCGTTCTCGGTCTCCTCCTCTCCAAATCCCCTGATGTTTCACTCCTTCAAACTGCACTCCGCAGTCTTCAAAATTCCCATCCGATCCTTCGCTCAAGGCTTCGTCTGGACGCCTCCACCAACACCTTTCACTTCATCACTCCTCGCGATCCTCACATCCAAATTACACCCTTTGATCTGCAATACACGTCTCGCATCATCGGGAGTGAATCAAACGATCGGCCCAGCAGCCCCTTCCTTCGGATCCTCGAGTACGAGCTGAATCGGAACTCGTGGCGTGATCATAGCGGCTCAATGTCCGCCGACACTGACGTCTTCCATGCGAGCCTCTACACAGTAAGCGATCAACAATGGGCCGTATTTCTCCGGCTGCACACGTCAGCATGCGACCGTACGGCAGCGGTGGCGCTGCTGAAGGAACTGCCGGAGCGAGTGGGTGGAAGAGTGAAAGAAGGGAAAGGGACGGAGATGGAATTAGAGAGAAAAGGAAAGGTCAGGTTGGCAATTGAGGATCTCATTCCGGAGGGGAAGGCGAACAAGCCTTTTTGGACGCGTGGATTGGACGTGCTTGGATATTCCTTGAACTCTTTCAGGTTCTCGAATTTGAATTTCGTGGATGCTCATTCCCCGAGAAGCTCTAAGGTGGCGAAAATGCAGTTGGACAGGGACGAGACAGAGAGGCTAATTGTCGTGAGTTACTATCTCTTATTCCACTTGATAACTCCGGCTACGTTAATTAATAATGGCTTTATCCATAAATCCTATCAAGAACCAGGAAATTGTCCTCGAATATTATTTTTTTATTGCGGAATCAAGTCTCTCGTTTATATCTTAGAAAATGTTTCTTGAAGATGAGAGGGATGTGGATAACTCCATTCTGTTTTGACTCGCAAAGGACTGTGGGGGTGCAAAAATCACATCACATGTCGAAGTAATTTGACTAGGAATGAAAAATTGGCCGACAAAATTTTTGCTGTCAGAACTAAATCAATTTGATGTTACAGTAATGAAGAATTACTTTGTGAAAGAAAACTCAGTAGCGTGATGAAGCTGCTGTGGTCTAATAATTTTTTTCCTTAATACATGTCATACAAAAGTACGATTTCTTTTAGTGTGATCAGGTCTCTCTGTCCAACAATAGGGAGCCAAAAAAAGTGACCTAGTTTCATAGCAATGTGGCAGTCATTTTGACAAGTACCAAATGCCCCATAATCTGTATATTTCTGAGTTCTATTATCTCCGACGTGATATATTACAGCTGCTTTTTGCGTGTGGTTTGGTAATGTAATTATTCAGTTTAATTATGAAATATGATGTAGGGATGCAAATCAAGAGGAATCAAGCTTTGTGGGGCACTTGCGGCAGCTGCAATGATTGCCTCATGGGCATCTAAGCACCGTCCTGATTTTGAGAAAGAGAAATATGCTGTAGTAACTCTCACTGATTGCCGCTCAATTCTAGATCCAATCCTTAACGGCAATGACCTCGGTAAGGCACACAAATTAGTTAGCACACTTTTTTCTTTGGTTCATTATGCTTCTGTTACTGGTACATCACGCCGCCCTGGTTCACAAAATCTGAAAATGCAGTTTCTGAGCCTTTTCTTATGTCATTTTGAAGTAACTTATTGAGCGCTAATTCTTTTGTCCTGTCCTCTGAGTCCTGAGCAAAACTGTCATTAGGGATTTGTGATACTTATCGAATACCATGTGACTATACTCCCAATTTTCAGGCATCGATCTTTGCGCTAAGAGCTTAGATTTATAGAGCAATATGGTTCACATGCAGCTTTCTAACAAATCGCTTATTTGGTTCAGGATTCTACCATTCTGCCATTTTAAACACACATGATGTGGGCGGAGAAACTCTATGGGAGCTGGCAAGAAGAAGTTACATGGCCTTTGAGAATGCTAAGAACTGCAACAAGCATTTCACAGACATGTCTGACCTCAACTACCTCATGTGCAAAGCCATTGACAGCCCAGGTTTGACACCGTCATCGTCATTGAGAACGGCCCTAGTTTCAGTGTTTGAAGACCCTGTCATCCAGGATTCGGAGTCAGATAAAATGCATCAAGAGGTTGGATTGGAAGACTATGAGGGTTGCTCCTCCGTCCATGGCGTGGGGCCATCCATAGCCATATTTGACACCATACGGAATGGAATGCTGAATTGCACATGTGTATATCCGTCACCCCTTCACTCTAGGGAGCAGGTACTGAAACTACTTGATCATATGAAGAAAATCCTAGTGGATGCTGGTCACATTAATTGAAGATCGGTAAACTGAACTGTCATGGCTATTATGCACCGACCAATTCATTGCTTAGCTTTGCCTTGTGATTCAATGAAGTTGCCAATTCCTGCATGATATATCGAGAGCAAATATTGTCACGCCGGGAAAATGAGAACAGCTCAGTCAAAGATGCCAGGGTATTAGAAACATGAACTACCGTTTATTGAGACCAAAGATGCGGTCTCAATTCTTATATAATCACTAAAAATGGGTATTTTTCATGTGTTTATTTTCATCTCAAACTTCAACAAACCGTGTAGCTGAATTAATTTATGTCAGTCTACCCGTAAATCTTCCAAGACAAGCACAAGGTTCAAGAAAACCTCCCCGATGTAAACTGATCGCCTGTTTAAACCTTTTTTGACATCGTGAAGATTAGCGCGCAGTGTTATCCTAGATTAAAATCTGTTATGTTGAAGGGCGGAAGCATAAGCGGGTCAATGTTCTTTTGTTGGGCCAAAGGTCTATGTTTTTATTTGGATACGAGAGAATTTGGCAAGTGATTCTTCATGTTACTTGTAGACTCGGAGAAAAGTCTATGTTCGTTCGTGTTGGTTCCGTGCATGCATTTAATTAGCCAGCATAATTTCGGGGAGGCTTACTCAGGGGACCCCCCACGTTACATTTCCAATTTCTCGCGCTTTCAAGACATTAAAAAAATTGCCGAACTCACTGAATTAAGCGGGAAGAGCTTGATTAGTATAGTATGGCAAGTTCCCTAAACAAATGTCCAAATGATAAGTGAGCAGTATTTCGGAATAAGAGATCGCGAACACGGCCATTTGATTAGATTAATAAGGTCATTGTAACAATTGAGAAGGAAGGGAACGTGTTTGCAGAAGTTCACAAACCAAAATTCAAAGTTCGAACATACCAGGAACTAGTTACATGTCAGATCATTCCTACTTGAAAACTGTCTGTATCAACAGCTTCCAGGGAACTTCTAGCTATAGGTCATGCTTTATACGACCGTGTACATCTCTTACTTCTAGATATGCTGCAGAGCTTACATGTAGCCCTGCGAATATCAAAAGATAATATCTGTAGTTCTGATTCCCGGAAAAAAAGAAAGAGCTTTTGGTCACTGCAATTCAAGGAAACTCATCAAAAATTTTGGCCAGATCAAACCTCCCATTGCTGCATTCTATTGCATTCAACACCTGCCGAAACGTTGAAACACTGCACGGAACAACCAGGCCGTTCTTCTGATCAAACCCGTATTCGTCGTATGCCTTGTCCAGCAACATCTTGAACAGTGGGTGAGAGAGATAGCTGGTTGGAACGACATGTCGTTTGCGCTCCTCCCCCACGTAGAGTGCAAAAAAGCCAGTCGGGGTTCTGTTATTTGCGGTTTCTTCCTCCTGTCCCCTGAGCAAATACTCATGGTAGACAGGATCTGGGTCAACCCCACCAACAGCCTTCACCTTTTTGGCCAATTTCTTAAACGATATCATCTGCTTCCCTAGCAAGGCACGCTGGGGGAAGAAGAAGCAGAGAAAATACAGAAGATTATTGTACGTACGCTGGCTATGTGTAAAGGAGGATTTAGTTTTTTATATATCATGTGAAGTGGGATGGATCGTAACCAAAGCATTGGGGTTGAAATTTTGAAGGTGTCACGTCTTGACTTTTGAAACTCTGGGAATCTATGACTGACATGTGAAGATTTTTAAGCGTATTAACAGAACATTCCTTTTCTTTAAGGTATAAAATACTAATAGGGTGTGAAGTGGTTGTTGGGTGAGTTTGACTAAGGAATAGTTAAAAGGACAGAAGATATTATCTCACATGGTAAAACCAAAAGAATAGCCATTAGTAGTGGGTGGCACGCCAAGGTGCCAACACCTTCGAGCAGTACAAATGGTGAAGAGTTGGCGAGTTTCACTTCGTACTCCACATTTGTCGGCTGGAAGCAATTCTGCACCCAAGGGAATGAGTCAAACCAACGATGCGCATCCCGTGGCGTACCAGAATCGCCTAAAAACCAATCAAATATAAATAATAATAAAGTTAAGAAGAAACTGTTTTATTTAGTGTTTGTTTGACCAGAAAATAAATGATTATCACTTAGTTATGTGGCATAGGTAAAAACTCAAAGCTTTGACATTGTTATATGTTTGATGAAAGGTCTCCTGTCCACTAAAAGTGATCGTACTGCAGTGCCCTGCACGTACATGCTACTAACTTTGTCTTTAAATATAAGGTAATCTTAAATATAAGTCTCAAATTCATTTTGTTTTCTATATTTTGCTATCTTTTTTTTCTTTCAAAATGGTCATTATGAGAGCTGCACATGTTAATATTATATCAAATACTCATCCGGTCCTTAATATAGGACCAAATTGTTAAGTTGGTTTTGGTCCTAAATATAAGACCCATTTATCATATTTTTTAATTTTCTCTAAATTACCTCTATAGATACTCTCTCAACCATAATCAAGTAGAAGAGGAAGAGAGAGAGTATTAAGAAAGATGATTATGGTATTTTAGGAAAAACGTGTCACATTTCTTATAATTAACTAACTTACCTAACTTCCTTAATCTAATCAAATTAGTTAAATGGGTCTTATATTAAATACGGGAGGAGTAGTATTTTTAGCTAATGTATATGATTAGTAAATATATTTAAGGAAAACAATACTTATTTATTGCAAGTAGCTAATTTAACAAACTTTCTTAACCTACTCAAATTTGCCAATTAACTCTTATATTAAGTACCATGCTAGTATATTATAACTAGCTAAGTTCTCAATAATGAAAGGTTCGACCCTTTTTCGATTCATAATATTTTTTCTTTAAATATATTACTATATCTAGTCCTTAAATCAGCGTTAATTGACTAATTTGAGTAGATTAAGAAAATTTATTAAATTAATTATTTGTAATAGATATATATTATTTTGTCCAAAATATTCCTACTAATCAAGTGTATTAACTCTTGCTAATCAAGTATATCGGTTCGAACTACCATTATTATAAGTACTATCATAAAATAGAAATATGAAAAATAAAATGTATTGATATCTTATATTTAAAATCAAAATCAAAATTTAAAAAAATTTATATTAAAAACTGGAGGTAATAATAATTTAACTAAAGTTGTTTTTGTAATTAAGAAACTCGGAAAATCAATAACATCCACGGGACACGTAATGATGAATGCCTCACGCTCAAGATTCGACACATCACGGGTCCGGGGAGCCACACAAAGGACGAAACGCTGGTTAACGGGTGTTCATGTCTACGTACTGTACTCATATATTCTAAGCAAGATTTTGAATTTAAAATGTATGAGAAGACGTACCGAGCAAAATTTAAGCGAGTTATACAAGAGCTTGGTGAGAACTGAGACTAGGGCAAAATTTACGGTTGGAGAAGCATTTATAATATATTTATATATATCACTCATCAATACGGCTTTTATATTGCCAGGATATTTCAAATTCATCGCAGCCCCTCTGACTCATGATTGATGTTCTTAGTGACTGGGGACTGATTAACTTTTTGCCAGCATGTTTTCCCTTCTCTCCTACTTAGGTTGGAGGTGTTTTGTGAGTTATAAATTTTTAACTTCAAATTAATATTAAAAATCTCAAATAGTTTCTTGAAATTCCTGGTTAAAAAAAAAAATAGTTTCCCTGCAATTGAGCATCTCCATTGCATACTCTATACTTTCTCTTTTGTATCCTTGTTCTTCAGGCCTTTGGATTGGCCTTTTTTTTTTTGGAGACCCATACACATAACACATGCATGTTGTAACGTCTTGAGTCTTGGTAACTCTTTTGGTTGATTTAAGGATATATAGTTTAGTGATTAAAATGAAATCTTGATGTCTGATTAGGATTAAGTGAATTAGAGGAGTGGGTGAACAAATCCCTCTCAGGATTGTTCCAGGGGAAGTGCAATTTCAGGAAGGTTTAGCCGCCGCGTGTGAAGTCAAAGGGACGTCGCGGCGAAGTTGTTAAGATGAGTGGAGTTTCCCTCTTGGGAAGGC